AACCACTAGACCATTGGGATAAAAGGGCTTGTTTCAGTAGCGGGTCAGTGCGCCCATAACCCCCCAGGCAAACGCGCCTGTAACCCCCCCTAGGATCGATCGGGGATCTCACAGTGTAGCTCTACTGACACCCCCCCACACTGGGAGGCCCAGGACTGAGCACAATGGCAACGGCCTGTCAGTAGAGCTACACTGTGAGATCCCCGATCGATCCTAGGGGGGGTTACAGGCGCGTTTGCCTGGGGGGTTATGGGCGCACTGACCCGCTACTGAAACAAGCCCTTTTATCCCAATGGTCTAGTGGTTGGGATTCTGAGATGGTATCAGAGCGGTCTCGGGTTCGAATCCCGGTGTATGCACATGTTGGTCGTTGCCACTGTGCTCAGTCCTGGGCCTCCCAGTGTGGGGGGGTGACAGTAGAGCTACACTGTGAGATCCCCGATCGATCCTAGGGGGGGTTACAGGCGCATTTGCCTGGGGGGTTATGGGCGCACTGACCCGCTACTGAAACAAGCCCTTTTATCCCAATGGTCTAGTGGTTGGGATTCTGAGACGGCCAACATGTGCATACATCGGGATTCGAACCGAGACCGCTCTGATACCATGTCAGAATCCCAACCACTAGACCATTGGGATAAAAGGGCTTGTTTCAGTAGCGGGTCAGTGTGCCCATAACCCCCAAGGCAAACGCGCCTGTAACCCCCCCTAGGATCGATCGGGGATCTCACAGTGTAGCTCTACTGACATTTACCTCTATTTCTTCACAGATTTCCCTAGTACATCCTATTTCCTAGCCATAGGAACTGGTTTGACCACGTTCGCACAACTACGCAGCACGTGGCGCTTGTGCATTTGCTGGCCTGAAACTGTGCAGGGATAGGCCTGTGCGCAACATGTCACTGTTTCAACGTCAGAGTGTGGTTTTTACCTCTTTTTCTTCACACATTTCCCTAGTACATCCTATTTCCTAGCCATAGGAACTTGTATGAGCCCTTTCGCACAACCACGCAGCACGTGGCGCATGTTTGTGCGTTCCATAGTGAATCTGTGCAAGGATAGGCCTGCGTGCAACATGTCAGCTCGCCAACGTCTGGATGCCTTTTTGACCACTATTTTTTCACACCGTTCCCTATTACATCCTATTCCCTAGCCATAGGAACTAGTTTGAGCTAGTTCGCACAACTACGCAGCATGTGGCGCATGTTTGTGCGTTCCATGGTGAATCTGTGCAAGGATAGGCCTGTTCGCAACATGTCACCGTTTCAGCATCTGTAAGTTATTTCCACCTCTATTTCTTCACACATCTCCCTAGTACATCCTATTCCCTAGCCATAGGAACTGGTTTGAGCTAGTTCGCACAACTACGCAGCACGTGGCGCATGTTTGTGCGTTCCATGGTAAATTTGTGCAAAGATAGGCATGCACGCAACATTGCAGCTCGCCAACGTCTGTATGCCTTTTTTACGACTATTTGTTTACACATTCGGGAAGTACATCCTATTCCCTTACCATAGGAACTGGTTTGAGCTCGTTCGCACAACTACGTAGCTCCTGGCGCTTGTTCGTGCGTTTGCTGGCCTCGAACTATGCAAGAATAGTAGGCCTGTGCGCAACATGTCAGCTCGCCAACGTATGGATGCTTTTTTTACCACCATTCCATTGTTCAAAAGAGAAAATCTAAGTCTCATAAAGCTGATGTATCGAATAATTTTACCAATAGGGCTGTTAGTATATTTTACCAGATCTTAAACGCAATTGAATGTATACGTTTTCGTGATTAATCATATAGAATATCCCGCATGTGTATAATATTGAATACAAGGATTTCATTTACGACCCTTTTTGCTATCATAGACGGGGATTTTTAAATACCAGTAATTTCACTTGTATGTTTGTCAAATATCTAGCACAGTAATCGGATTTATAGCTATCCTATTTTTGTGTGTATTGTGAAGTTTTAATGACGCGACACGGACAAACACTTCTGCCGTCGTTTTTCAACATCCACGTCATTTTGGGCATTCATTGGTTCATTCGATTTACAGCAACAATGGTTGGCGATACGGATAGATTTTGATTGGTTACGAAAATTTTTGTGCGATGTGTTTGCTTGAATTGGACTGCCAGCGCAACTCTGCTGAGCAATCGCGCTGCAGATGCTTCAAGCGCAACCGCTTAATATGCCAGCCCAGCGCAGCCTCTCAAGTGCCAGCGCAGTGCACCATTGCGCTGCCAAAGCCAGCGCAACCGCGCAGCAGTTGTAAATGTCGCTGGCGCAACTGCGCTGCTGCTGTAACTGCCTCTGGCGCAATTGCAGCAGCGCCCGCCAAATACACAATCTCCAGCGTCACAATTTCTCTCCCCTCCCCAATCCCCCCAGCATCCCCCTTCTCCCCATCGTAACTGCTCCAACTCTCCCACCTCTCTCAATCTTATTGCGTGTGTTTCCATTCACGTCTCAGCAGAAGCAGATTGGTGCTCTACGTGTGTTAGTACGCCATTTCCCTTCATATCTCCAGTCGCCCTCGTTCACTTGCCTAACTTAGCGTGCATCACCTTTAATCGTTACTGCCATGCCTTTCGTGTCTGCGTTAGATTTTCGTCAGCCTGTTCTTATAGCTAGGGTTTACTCCTAGCGAGAATCGCGGCAGTGGGCGCGAAGTGAACTGCGCTACCTGCTGCTAGCGGCGGAGTGTGTGGTGGCGTAAGGCGCACGTTCTTCTTCAGCTGCTGCTGCTGCTGCTGCTGCTGCTAGCAGGATTCGCGACTGAGGGCGTGACGCAGTCTGGTTTCGTGTCAATTTTGGCGCACGGTTGCTCTCAGTGAGACCCGATCTGTGCTATTGCTCTGCAGTTGCTTGTACGCTTTTGCTCTTTCGTAACATTTGCCTGTTTTTACTGCAGGCGTTCAAGGGAAGCTCCCCCAATGAGATTTCCGTGCCAGCTACTCATCCACACTGCCTACATCTTCCCGTTGTTTTTATGTGCTACCTTATGTACGCGCGATGACAATTGTTTCACTTTCAGACCTTATTTTTATTGCCGTTTTTTGCAGCGTCTATCATTTTTTTAAGGTACGTGGTGGTCTCTGCCGTTCCGTGTGATTTCCACCTGAACTGTGTGTCGTTTGTATTTTCAGGAAGTTCAGTGCTGATATATGCGTTGTGTATTCAGCAAAGTTAGTAGAGCCTCTGATGCAATATCTTCATGTATTGTGTACATGCAACTCTAATATAGATATTTTTAACACACACAATGATCCTAACATTTAAACAATTTTGTTACTGATTTGTGTGGTTGCACTAGTTCTTAGTATGGAAATTGTTCGTTCCAAATATATGTGATTTGCTATGCATTTGATCCTAGTTTGCATAACATAATTTTGCAGATTATATACTTGCCAGTATGTAATTGTAAACAAATGGTGAAACAAATGCATACTAAAGAGCATGTTTTTGCTAGTGAAGTTGGTATCGTTTTGGTATGCATTGGTGCTCTACCGTTTACATACTAATCCAACCATACTAAATACCTACGACGCATGTTACTTTATGGTACCCCTAATGACCCATACTTTTTGTATACTTCAGGATATGTTGCAAGTATATCTACGTTATGTAAAACGATTCATGAAATTTGAGATGGTCACAGGAGAAGCAGGTTGATGAACTGCACACGCACATGCATGTGAAGAAAGGTAGATGACGGTAGAAACCATAGCTAGGACTAAGCTAGCTAGGCAAGGAAGAAGCTAGGCAAAAAAAAGGGGTTGTACTAGCAAGCAATGGGATACAAATATGAAACCCTAAGGGGTTATACTCGCTATAGAGTACCCCACTGCAGGCTAGATAACAAATATAACATTCTGACAATGCATAGGAGCAGCAAGCAAGCCTAGATGCCGTATGCCTGCACGGACGCCAGCAGCTCATCTTGCTCCTTCACAGCAGGGGCAGCCACGGCCACGGAGCAACAGGCATGGACATCAACGTTTTACCACTCTCAAATCACACACACCCCTCTAGATGTCATACACCTGCACCGACGCCAGCAGCTCGTCCTGCTGTTTCACAGCGCGCTGCCACACCTCCACGGAGCGACAGAGCTTGGCATCAACGTGTTGCCTTACCACTACTTGATCCCCCTCACCCCCCTCCTCCCTTCTAGATGTCATACACCTGAACGGACGCCAGCAGCTCGTCTTGCACCTTCACAGCTGGTGCTGCCACGGCCACGGAGCAGTCTACCTCAACAACATTATGTTACTATTCTCGAATCACCCACCCCTCTAGATGCCATACACCTGCACCGACGCCAGCAGCTCGTCCTGCTCTTTCACAGCCGGGGCAGCCACGGCCACGGAGCGACAGAGTTGGCATCAATGCCTTGTCACCCTATAATCTCCCCCCCTTCCCCCCTCCTTTTCCTAAATGTCATACACCTGCACGGATGCCAGCAACTCGTCTTGCTCTTGTTGGAGGTTGCGTGGGGCTAGGTTTTGCCCCCAACCACCGAACGGTGCTGCTTTTGGTTCTCACCTTCGAGTGAGCTGCAGGTTAGCGTGGGGCTGAAGATTGACTTCGGAAGACTCAACCAATTCGGTGCCACATGGCAGCACCAGAAAGTTCGAGACTTGAAGGAACATTCGGATGAGTGAAATTCGAGTGTCGAATTTCACCACTTCGAAATGTTACGAGAACATTCACGAAGTGTAGCGATGCGATGTTACGAACGCGGTTCGATGTTGATTGCATGCTATAAAAATAGTTGCTTTGTATGCATGTTTCATACTGAAAATCAGAGTTTTCTATACACAGTTCAACTCGACACAAAATCCAGAGACATCCTATTCTTCAATCTTTGAGCACTACCTAGCACGTTGAAAGCCGTATCAGAGCCGATACTTGGGCGAATCACGTGTTCTACGGCTCGTTGGAAAGCCAAGAGTGTGCTCTAGTGTTTAGTACAAATCCCAGTTCCTGCAAATTAGAGGAGATTTCTCTACATCAGCTCTTTCACAGCAGGGGCAGCCACGGCCACGGAGCGACAGAGCTTGACGGCATCGGCGGGAGTGACGAAGAGCCACTGCTCGCCCATCTCAGCTAGGAAGTTGGCATCCCACAGCTTGCGCAGGACGTCCCTTGACGCACTGGATAGGCAGAGCTGGAGAGGGGTTCAAAGGGGTGAGGAGGTGTGGGAGGGACTGAGGTGAGTGAGGGTGACGAAATCTTGAGCTAGGGAAGGAGCCATAGCTAGTTAGAACGAGAGTTGGGTATCGAGCGAGTTGAGAGAGTTGAGAAGGATGCAAGAAAAGTGAGGGGTTTCACTATAGAGCGAGCAGTACAAATAGGCAAGAAGGAAGGTGCACCACCAAACAGAACATTATATAACTACAGTAGTCTACACTACAGGCAGTAACAAAACAATATATATAATGATATATTATTCTGACACGCCCCCATAAGTGCCTGTAGGGAAGAATGTGTAGTCAACGCCCCATAATGGGGTACACGAGGCAGAGTGCGTAGCAGAACGGGAGAGGGCAGGCAAGGAGGAGGAGGGAGAGAGAGGGAGAGAGAGGAGAGGAGGTGGTAGGCTCTGGTTGGTCACCCCCTACATCCCCTCACCCTCCCCCTCCCTCTCCCCATCCCCCTCACACTGCTGTAGGAGCAGCAGAGGAGGGGGGCAAACGGAGGAGAATGGGGCCGTAGGGCCAGGGGACCACACATCACCCATCACCCCCACACCCGCCACCCCCAGTCCCTCCCCGGGCTCCCCCACACTCTCACACCCTCCCCCCCAGCGGCAGCTGCAGCAGAGGGAACAAAAGGAGGAGGAGAAGAGGGGGGGGGGGGGGGGGGGGGTGACGCACGGCCTCCCCGGGCGCCAAAGCAAGCGGCAGAGGGGGCGACGACTGCCCCACGCGGCCCCCTTAGGTCGCCTCGACAGGTGACGGGAAGAAGGGGGGGGGGGGGGGGGGGTGCACGTGCCCCCGGTGTGCCGCAGCTGGTGACGAGGCATGGCCGGGACGGGGTCGGGACCGCAGGTGTAGGAGATGGGGCCGGGGCCGAGGGCGGCGACGGGGCCGCAACAGAGGGCGGCGAGGCCGCTGGTGAGGGCGGCGACGGGGCCGCGACTGAGGGCGGCGACGGGCCGCAGGTGAGAGCGGCGACGGGGCCGCAGCTGAGGGCGGCGACTGGTCGGGGCCGCTGGTAGGTGACGGGGCCGGGCCGCAAGTGGGCGACGGGGCCGTAGCAAGGGCGGCGGGGCCGCAGTGAAGGGCGGCGAGGCCGTGACGTAGGGCGGCGGGGCCGCGACAGTAGAGAGGCGGCGAGGCCGCGACAGTAGGGCGGCGGGGCCGCTTAAGCAGGGCGGCGGGGCCGCGACAGTAGGGCGGCGGGGCCGTGACAGTAGGGCACACCACGGGGCGTGCAGTACACTCAGTAGCAGCGGAAGCAGGAGTCCAGGAGCAGAACACGCTCTGATACCATGACGAAATCTTGAGCTAGGCTAAGGAGCCATAGCTAGTTAGAACAAGAGTTGGGTATCGAGCGAGTTGAGAGAGTCGAGAAGGATGCAAGAAAAGTGAGGGGTTTCACTATAGAGCGAGCAGTACAAATAGGCAAGAAGGAAGGTGCACCACCAAACAGAACATTATATAACTACAATAGTCTACACTACAGGCAGTTACAAAACAATATATATAATGATATATTATTCTGACAGAGGGGAGTGAGGGGGGAAGGTGACGAAGAGCCACTGCTCGCCCATGTCTACCAGGAAGTTGGCATGGGCGAGCAGTGGCTCTTCGTCACCAACAGAGGCCAGATCAGCTGTGGGCCATCAGCTGTCAGCCCATGCCCCACTTGAACGCTCTTGTCAAACAGGTCTCGCTCCTTCACCCCACTCATGCCTGACCAGATGCACGCGAGGTTGGCCGTCAGAGCTTACCACATCACACTACTAGGCAACCCCTTGTCCTATACCTTGTCGTATCTGAATGCTCATTCCAGACAGATAGTGACTCGGCATCCCATGAATCTCGCAAAGCTCCTTCAGCCCGTCGATGCCTGATGGGACGCCGGTGAATGGACTTCGATGCTGACCACATCAAGCTACAAGGCACATCAGTGCTAACCCATTATACCTTAACCTCAGCCCTTTCAACCCGTCAGTACCTGAATGCTCTTCTCGGACAGGTCTCGGTGGAGCTCCTTCAGCCCATCGATGCTCGACACGTCAATGTCGTGCATTACACTCAGATCCAAGATGCAGTGCTGTTGGTGGGGGAATGCAGTGGTGCAATGCGGTGGGAGGAGGGAGAGGAGTTTAAGCGTGGTGCGATGCGATGCCCGACACGTCAATGTCGTGCATTACACTCAGATCCAAGATGCAATGCTGCGGGGAATGCAGTTAACGAGGTGCAATGCGGTGGGAGGAGGGACTGGAGGATAAGCGCAGTGCAATGCCCGACATGTCAATGTCATGCATGACGCTCAGATCCAAGATGCAGTGTTGTTCGTGGGGGTGGCTTTTGAGGCGCCTCAAAAGACATGACGCTCAATTCCAAGATGCAGTGCTGTTGGCTGGGGCGGAGGAGAAGGGGAGGGAAAGAGATGTGCAGTGCGTGAAGCAACACGTCAATGTCATGCATCACACTCAGGTCGAGAATGCAGTGCTGCGGTTGGGGTGGAGAGGAAGGAAAGGGAGGGGAGGAAGGAGAGGGAGTGGAGGTCGTGGGGGGAGATCGAGGTGCAGTGCGATGTGCTACACTCAGTGCTGGGCGTGACACTCATTGCGTGCTGAGTCCAGAATGCAGCAAACAAGTGAGACCGGTCATCAATTTGCATGACACTCAGGTCCAGAATGCAGCGCTGCGAGATGGGAAGGAGGAAGAGAGTGTGAGGGGAGATAAGCCCACGAAAAGAACAGTGAACTCTCTATCTCCCCAAAACCCCATCATCAGTAACCCATCCACAAGCCCCTCACTAGAAGCACAAGCACCAGACTCACCCACGGGTTGCTGGTATCCCCTCGCGTACGCATCACACAACTTCTTGATTCGCTGGCGACAGAAACTCGCCGCCGGAAAATAGAGCGGGTTTTTTATTCCCCTCCTCATCCTCAGTAACCCATCCCCAAGACCCTCAATTGCAGCGTCGTTAACAGCACAACCACCAGACTCACCCGCACGGGTTGCTGGTACCCTCTCGCATACGCATCACAGAGCTTCTTGATGCGCTGCCGGCAGAAATTCGCAGCAGGGAAGTACAGCGGGCTCTCGATCCTCAGCATCACGATCCCCTCGCACAGCGTGCTGTTGGGGAACTGTAGCACGCTCACGGCTGTAGCAGCGCCGCTCGGGAGCAGGCTGAGCAGGCCGAGCAGGCGGATGTGCGGGCAGACAATGCGCAGGAGCAGCTTGAGGACGGAGAGCACGGAGGCGACTAGAAGGCCGATCTCGGGTGAACTGAAGATTATTCCGAGGAAGCAGCCGAGGATGACCATGAAGTCCAGCTTGTCTACGCACCAGATTATAAACGCTGCCTTGAAGTTGAGCTGGGAGGGGAGAAAGAACAGAGGCAGGGAGTAAGCTAATAAGGGGAGAGTCGTTAGGAGCAGGCGAGCATGAGTATGAAGTCGAGCTTGCCCACCCCCCGGATCGTAAACGCTGCTTCAAAGTCGAGCTGGGAGTGGGATACGAACAGATGGGATGGGATAGGGGAATACGATAGTGAATATGAAAACTGGAATAAGAGGATAAGGGGTAGAGAGTTGGGAGCAGCCGAGCATGAGTTTGAAATCAAGCTTGTCAGCCTGCCAGATCTGAGACGAGGCCTTGAAGTCAAGCTGATTGGGGGGGGAGATGGGGAGACGAGAATATGTGATGGGATAACGGAATATGGGAATGACTGAAGAAGGAAATAACGGATGAGGGACAAAGGGGAAGAGTCGTTGAGAGCAGTCGAGCATGCCGACGAATGGAATAAGGGAGGGGTTTGTCAAGAAAAGGTCGTTGGGAAGCTTCCGACACGCATCGACAGATTCATTGACAAGTTGAGTGACTTGGAAAGCAATCAAGTGGAGCAAACAAGGTGACGGGTGGAGCAGACAAGTTGACGGGTACACTCTATGCCATGCTGTCTGGGTGCTGGCCATCGTTTGATGGCGGGGTGAGGCGATTGGATGAGAGCAGGGATTGGGAGGATTCCTGCTGGTGGTTTGTGTCGCAGCAGGCGAAGAATCTCGTTTGTCGGATGCTGTCGGTGGATCCTGAGATGCGATCTACGGCTGAGGAGATTTTGAGCGATCCGTGGGTGAAGGGGCAAGGCGGAGAGATCGTGCGGTATAGGCCGACTCCTTTGTTGCAAAGGGCCGTTTCAACAAGCAAACAGCGCCCTTTTCGAGCCCGAGGTCGTTGCAATATGACTGCAAAGACGCTAAGAGGAAAACCAGACAGGGGAGAGTCTGGGGCTGCTGCTGTGGGTGCAGCAGAGACTAGCAGCACATCATCTACAGGGGTGATGACAGTAGCTACACTGCAGTCGTACCCTTCACTTCACACACGTCTGTATCTTCTTCCATTATCTCTCCATCCTCCTTTCCTAGTGTCCAAGACCAAGAAGGATGCAAGCAGCAGGGTGGGTTCAGAAATTAGGTGGCAAGAGTAGGGTGTACAACAGTCAAAATCAGAGGGTAGCAATTATATTAAGCAAAGATTTGCCTGAGGCAACAGCCGTAGATAGTGAGGAGCTAGTTCAAAAGGGCTGAAATACAGCACTCCTAACCATGCTTTTTATGCATGCAGTGCTGTGAAACCTCAAGAACAAAACGAAGGAAGTTTTACAACCCACCAAATTTGTTTAAATAAAAGCAAACCGACAATCTCATACAAAAGGAAGTAAAAATCAACAGCCCACCAAGGTTGCTTCACATTGAAAAAACCAGAAGCCCACCATATTTGTAAACAGCCCACCAAACTTGAAAACAGCCCACCAAACTTGAAAACAGCCCACTAAACACAAGAACGACACTGCTCCGATGCACTCCCGAAAGGTGGGAATGAAACCAACGAGGAGTAAAAAGGTAAAGGCTTCTCATCAAGTACAACAGGAACAGCTCCTCTGCCTTCCTTCAGCTTGACTTGAGGCCTTCATCAAGCCACCCTTCAGACGCAGCTTTCCTTCAGGACTTGAAGTATTCAGCTGCAGCTTTTCGGGGAAGGGCCCAGCAAACTCAAGCTCGCATTCCTGCATTCAAAGGACGATGATTGGCAGCAAATGAACCACAGGAACCAGAGAATTAGAGAACGAGTTCCAGGAGAGAATGAGGGATCTGTACTAGAAAATAAGACAGGAAAAACGTGTGCTCTTTACCAGGGTGATTCACCCTTTGTATGCTGAATGAATCAAGTTTGAGGCAAGACTAGATACAAAGATAGAGAACAGGGGTGAGAGAGGACAGGGGTGAGTAGGGGTGTAATCGGCGTTCACATACGCAAAACACAAGAGACAGTTCAACCAGCAGATGCACATGTGATTTCAATTGTACGTACCTATTAAGGACTCCACTGATCTATCCCACCATGACCGACAGGATCAAAGTTTGCAATCGCAAAACACGCGCCACAGTTGAGCAGGGACATGAGGGAAGAGTCCTGGCAGTGCAATTCGATGCACTCCTCAGTACTTGGACCTGAAAGGAAGTAGCAACACCGATAGGTATAATGGCATTAGGACCTGAAAGGAAGTAGCAACACCGATAGGTTTAATGACATTAGGACCTGAAAGGAAGGAAGTAACAACACTAGTACTTGTTGAAGGAAAAGGTACGGTGCTACTAGCACTGGAAAGGGAGAGAAGGGAGCGAGAGAGAGGGAGAGGGGGTGACAGAGAGGAAGCGAGAGAGAGGGGGCGAGGGAGAGGGAGGTTTAGGGGAGAGAGCGGAAGAGAGAGCGAGGAAGATACAGAGAGAAAATGTGCAATTGTAGGGTGGTAGATTGCACTTACAAGTCCCAATACCGTCGAGATTGACACATACTGCACCGTCGCACTGTGTGACTGCGCATGTTCCTGAGAAAGAGAGAAAGAGAGAGAGAGAGAGAGAGAGAGAGAGAGAGAGAGAGAGAGAGAGAGAGAGAGAGGAAGAGAGAGAAAGAGAGAGAGAGGGGGGGGGGGGGGGGGGGAGGGGGAGAGGGAGAGAGTGAGAAAGTCGGAGGAGATGAGAGAGGGCGAGGAACGTGAACTACTATGACTGGGAAAGGGGACATGAGCGTGAGCGCTTGGCAGAATTTTGAGTCGACTCAAAAGTCACTTTGAGTCGACTCAAAGGAAAGGGGACATGAGCGTGAGCGCTTGGCAGAATTGGAGGTATTCTGCCAAGCAGTGCTGCAAAGAACAAGCACACTACGCACCTGTGCAAATGCCGTTGTGCCGCGTATATCCTTTTGCGCAGTAACAGACCGCACCATCATTCTTGTCGACACATACTTCAGTCTCGGAATTACAAGGGTATGACTCGCATGTCCCTGGCAGAAGCGAGGGAGAATGGAAGGTAGTTTTGAGAGTGGGGTATAGAGAGACAAAGAGAGCATAATTTAAAACGTGGGATATAGAGAGACAAAGAGAGCATAATCTAAAATGTGGGATATAGAGAGACAAAGAGAGCATAATCTAAAACGTGGGATATAGAGAGACAAAGAGAGCATAATCTAAAACGTGGGATATAGAGAGACAAAGAGAGCATAATTTAAAACGTGGGATATAGTTTTGTGCCATACAGAGAGCTGGTTAGACCGTGTAGAGAGATGGGATGGATCCAGTTAAATGAAGACCGATGAGCGTGCAGGGAAAATGCGAGGCAGACAAAGATGCACGTACCTTTACAATTCGGCGGCGCGCCTGTGTATTCGGGCTCCCTGCAAACGCATTGTCCACCGTAATCCGTTTCTTTGCAACGTTCCAAGGGGCCACACTTCGTGAATATGCATTGTGCTGGCAGTTGTTGGTTGGCAAAATCATCAACGAGGGAGAGGGGAGGGGGAGGAAGAGAAAGAGAGAGGAAGGGGGGAGGGGGGGGGGGGACGGGGGGGAGGCGGCTGAGGGGAGAGTGTCGGCAAGAGACAATTGCTAGACACGGCATCCATTAGCAGGGGTTCTTGCAATTTAATGGACTTGGTACAAACAACTTCCGAATCACATGATGGACTCCTCTCCTTCTGTTCCGTGCTCTCTATACTAGCTTGTACGATACAGAGAGCGTGTGTGAGAGCACAGTGCGTGAAGGTGACGACAGGCTACGTACGAGGGCATGTGTGAGAAGGAGTTTTCATGTATCCAAACTTGCAGTTTTGAGACGTCTCAGAATACGTACGCGCGCAGGTGCGATAAGGAGTTTGCATGTATCCGAACTTGCATCGGCAGTAAGACGTGTCTTGCTTCTCCACACACTCCTCGTTGAGACCACAGACTCGTATTGAGCACGGCGCTGGCAGATGGTGGGAGGATTAATGGGGAGGAGAGGGAGAGGGAGACGGAGGGAGAGAGAGAGGGAGGGAGAGAGGGAGGGAGAGAGGGAGAGAGGGAGGGAGAGAGGGAGGGAGAGAGGGAGAGAGGGAGGGAGAGAGGGAGAGAGGGAGGGAGAGAGGGAGAGGGAGAGACGGGGGAGGGAGAGAGAGGGAGAGAAAGGGGGACGCTGGCACATGGTTGATTTGAGATGCTACCTTGCCCACATCGACCACGGGTTTGCATAGGCATCGATAAAGAAACGACTTGAGAGGGGAGAGAAGAGGACAATCCAGGGGGAGGGAAGAGGAGAAGTACTTACGCTTGCAAAATCCTGGGACCCCAAGATATCCTGGCTTGCAGTTGCACGTTGGTCTGAGGTTCACCATCTCGCATACTTCGTTTTGACCGCATTCATAGACTGCGCATGTGGCTGGTAAGTGGGAGAGAGAGGGGAGAACGAGAGAGGTGGTGAGGGATAGTGAGGCGAGGCAGGGGAATGGACGGTGGTAGAGGAAGGAGGGTAATAAGAGGGAAAGAGAGAAAATATGCAAGGAAAGTGAGAGGGAAAAAATAAGAGGACTGGAAAGCCAAACATACTACATACCATCACAGTATTTGCCTCGCGCGACGTATCCTGCAGCGCATTCGCAAGTCCCAGCGCCTCCAGGGACTTTCTCCACGCAGTGTTGGTTCGGGGGGCAGTAGAGAGCATTGCATGTTGCTGCAAGATGGATTTGGTGATTGATAGGGAGAATTGGGAGAACGAGACAGGGGAAGAGGAGAGAGCATGACAGAGAGGTTATGACAAACGAGCAAGATAGGCAGCAACGCGGGTGACGATGAAAGAGAGAAGAATATCAATTAGAGAGGCATTGCATAGGAGGGAGAGAAGGAAAGGCAAAGAACGCATGTGCGTTTAGTGAAAGAACAAGCACAGCACATACCAGCACACGATCCCGCCTGGCCGACGTATCCGCTCCTGCATTTACAGGTCGGCACACCTCCTACCATCGCACATTCTTCCAATGGTCCACAATTTATGGCTTCACAGGTGCCTGTTGGATGGATGGAGGGAGACAGGAGATGGGAAGAGGGGAAGATGGGAAGAGGGGAAGAGGGGAAGAGGGGAAGAGGGGAAGAGGGGGAGAGGGGGAGAGGGGGAGAGGGGGAGAGGGGGAGAGGGGGAGAGGGGAAGAGGGGAAGGTGGGAAGAGGGGGAGAGGGGGAGAGGGGGAGAGGGGAGAGAAAGCAACCAACATCGCCACTAATGCAATGACCTTTGGCAGGGAGCGTGCTGGTGTGGATGTGGCATTGGAGCAGGAAGGGATGAATATGTGGGTCAGCCACGCAAGTGAGGCAGCGAAGTGGAGAAGGGAAACGCAGGAAGGAGCAAAATGACAGAAAGAGGACATCAGGAGAGGGGAGAAGGGTCAGGGAGTGGAATGTGCACGAGTGAATGATAAAGGGAAGGCAACGGGTCAAGTACCAGGACCCTTCTTCTGGCAACGGTAAATGAGAGCATCACGACTTGGATATATGGACCATCACGTACTAGGGCAGGCTTGAATGCTCATCTGGGAGTTCCAAACACAGTCACGAGGACAGTTAGCCGGGCAGTTAACTGCAACAGAATCCAAGAGGGATAAAGAGGTACAGGTGCAAATTAGCAACAGAATGAAAGCAAGACGATCTGCTTTGCTGCCAAAGCAGACAATCTGTCTACCTTCTCTCAATCACCAGCAATTGTCTAGAAAAACCACATCTGCCACGTGACTACTCCCCATTTGCTATGTGACCAACAGTGGCTAGATAAGCAACTTCACCTCGCCTTTATCACAGCGATCAAGAGTAACCATCCTCATTACTCCCCAATGGATGATCATTGGATGGACGATGATTGGATGGAACGTGTGTAAGTTGCCGAGCAAGCGCACCTTTCTTACAGACCGGATAAAGTCCAGATGTGTCACAAAGGTATCCATATGGACAGGGCATGGCCGGGCATGATACTGGCAGATGGAGGGTGGAGATTGAGTATGATGAGAGGGAGAGAGGGGAGGGGAGCACGGGTTGGCAGGGAGGGGAGGTGGAGAGGGAAGGGGAGATGGGGGGTTTGAAGAGTTCATATGGTTAAACACCAAAAGGTTAGCTTTGATGAACACCACACCACAAGGCCAACAAAGCTTGTTGGGCAATGTGTCGTGTGTCGTGTTGGGCAATGCCTCAGATCCAGAGAAATAAAAACAGAGATAACGGGGTACATAGGGAAACATAGAGAAAGAACTGCCACGGGTTTTTTTTTATCCATTGTACGTACGTACGTACCTATGCAATTTCCTGAGACTGGATCCGGTGTGTAGCCATCGTTGCACTTGCAGTATTGAAAGGGCGGATTGTTGTTCCACCACCACCAGTTGTCATATTTCTCAACGCAATTGCCATCACCACAGTTGTCAGTGGTGCATTCGTCACGAAGAAAGTCTGGACACAGATGGAGAGAAGACAGGAGTGTGTAAGCAGGTCAGGCATGCGGGATGGGACACCCACCACCCTTCCATAAATCAACAGAGGCAAACCAGCAGGTGTTTTCTGAGTCCTCTGAAAATCACCTGCAATCCAGCAGGGGGAATGGTACTTATTCAAATGGGATTGGCTTGAAACACACATCAAACTTTTCCTGATTGCTCAAACTGAGCTGTGGTAGGTGTTTTGAGTCGACTCAGAACACGACTCAAACTGAGCTGTGGTATTGTGCAAGCGCACGCCATATATATACAGGCCACGAACATATCCAAGCAAGCAAATTATTTCCGTGAGCCACACAAACCTCATTCACACCACTGCTTGACTTCGGATGAACCTTGAGAAAGAGGTGAAGGAGAGGGGGAGAGATGAAGATGGTGAAAACGGAGTACAGATACCAGCACATTCGTACGAAAATCGTAGCACAAAGGACAGCACATAGGTACGAAAATACCAGCACAAGTACGAAAATACCAGCACAAAGGACAGCACATACGTACGAAAATACCAGCACAAGTACGAAAATACCAACACAAGTACGAAAATACCAGCACAAGTACGAAAATACCAGCACAAAGGACAGCACATACGTACGAAAATACAAGCACATAAATACGGAAACACCAGCACATAAAACACCAGCACATACATACAGACATACCAGCACAAAGGACAGTAACACATGCGTACGTACCAGCACACACCCGGTTCTGGCAATAGTATCCAGCCACACACTCGCATCTTCCAGCGATCCCGTTTGGGAGGTCACGTAATTAAAGTGTATTTTTGAGACGTGTCAAAAGAACATATGTACGTACCAACACACTCCCCGTTCCGGCGATAGTATCCAGCCACACACTCGCAGCTTCCAGCGATCCCGTTTGGGAGGTCTTCAAAGCATTCTTCCAAGTCACCACACGGCTTTGGACTCCACGGATCGGCCAGAATTTTGCATGTGGCTGGCAGATGGTTGGTGAGAGGGGGTATGTGGGAGATTGGATTGTGCAAAGGTAGAGAGAGAGAGAGGGAGAGAGTGAGAGAGAAAGAGAGAGAAGGGTGGGGGGGGGGTTCTGAGATACTCCCTCCCTTCTCAAATCTCTCCTATCAAAAGCAATTACAGTGCAGTCTCAGCAGGACCCGTGGGCCCCACACTCTCGGCATGACCCATGGGCCCCACACTCTCGGCATGACCCGTGGGCCCCACACTCTCGGCATGACCCGTGGGCCCCAGCATATGCTGCGTTGCGGCAGACCTAGGTTGCGGAGGGTGACAGGGAGGAGGGAGAGTTTCAACCAAGCAACACCCCCTACCCCTCCTATCCTAGCGACAGATTGGCAGAAAGGAGGGGTAGGGGGTGTTGCTTGGTTGGAAGTACTCTTGTGTAGTCTGGGGGGGGGGGGGGGGGCTGTCATAGGCAAGGAAAAAAGCAAGAGGCCGCGTGGTTTATGGCATATGAGTTGCTTCGCTTTGTCTAGCTACATCAATCTTACTTGCCAACGCTTGTACCCGTTTGCCTATTCTAAAACATGACCGCTTGAGAGGAACGAAGGGAGACTGGCATAATTGAAAAAAAGCACACGTACGGGCACAAACGTGTGTCTCTCTGCGAAGGTACCCGTCCTTGCACACGCATTTAGCATGGGTCCGTTTTTCCATGCTTGGAGGAATGCAGTCTTCTTCTGGGCTGCAATTCACGTCAGGGTGATCACATGTTGCTGGAGGATGGATGACACGAGAGGGGAGGGGGTATGCAGGAGAGAGGGAGGTGAGCACGTGTTCTCTAGTGGCGTTCAGCTGTTGACATTGCACATGTCAGCATGCAGTTTGGACTGAGCAATGAATTCTTAGGAGTTAACACAAGTTTATCTTAGAGTTGAGATGGCGGAAATATGGACGACTGCAAGTTGTAGGAGTAGTGGGAAAAACAATACAAGTCTAGTTTTGAGGCGCCTCAAAACTAGTAGTGGGAAAAACAATACAATTGTCGGAAGACTTCCCGTGCAAAGGCGGCTCAACCATTTCCTGTACTCCCATACACAACGAGTTGACTTTTGAGTCGACTCAAAAGTCAGCCCCGTGCAAAGGCGGCTCAACCATTTCCTGTACTCCCATACACAACGAGTTGACTTTTGAGTCGACTCAAAAGTCAACCCCGTGCAAAGGCGGCTCAACCATTTCCTGTACTCCCATACACAACGAGTTGACTTTTGAGTCGACTCAAAAGTCAACCCCGTGCAAAGGCGGCTCAACCATTTCCTGTACTCCCATACACAACGTACCGAGACAAGATCCAGGCTCGCCAATCATGTGATCGCCACATGTGCAGGTAATATCGTCACGACAAACGGCTGGGGGCCAGCACCACCTTTCCCAGCACTTATCTGGCAGATGATTTGTGGGGAGAGGACGGGAGAGATAGAGAGGGGGAGAGCTATCAATTATAGCTATGGGGCACATCAGGAATGCTTCTTGAATAGGAAGAGAAGGGGGAGTGAAGGGGAGGGGGGAAGAGAGAGCGAGGGAGTTCACATACGCACCGATGCAAGTCCCATTTGGCAGCTGGACGGTGCCGTCCATAAAGCAAATGCAGATGGCTTCTAGAGTGACAGGGTCATGCTCGCACACTCCTCGCTCACCACAGTCCTTAGTTTCGCAGTCATCTGATAGAGAGGGATGGAGGACATAAGAAAGGGAGAAAGGTAGAGAGAGGTGAAGAAGAGAGTGCAAATTGGGGGATGAGGACGAGTATGGGGGATGAGAGGTAGAGAGGAAGGGGATGAGCGGGGAGAGACTCAGTGCAACATCAAGAGATTACCTATTGCTATGCTATGCTACAAGAGACTGCTTATCAACATCGAAACTGCTTTGCTATGCTACAAGAGAGACTTAGTGCAACATCAATGAAAAGGTATGCTAAGTACCGACCGACACAAAAGGCAGGTTTGCAAGTGTATCCAGGTACTGAATTGCATACACAGGTTGCTTGCTGCAGTGCCATACTTCTCACAAGCTTTGCCACCATTCTTGATTGCGCATGCATCTATCAAGCGGTTGGTTGCAATCTCTCGACAGCTTTGAGGAGCTACAAAACTACACGTGTGATCGGTCTCTTACCGAGGGTGAAGGAGGGAGGAAGCACCAAGTAGGCGTCACGAAAAGCAAAGGAAACCACCAATACACACCTCTGCAAGTGCCATCAGACTGCATGGTAAAGCCGGTGCTGCACTGGCAGGATGCCGTTCCAGATACAGGGTCCTTGATACACACAGCCGAGTCATGGCATCCCTTGAAATTGCAGTTATCTGACAGGGAGGATGCAAAAAACAACAGTTGGAAAAACGCAAGAAAGTACCATTTGAGAAGGAAGGGAGGTATTCGACCACCCCAAAGCTCTATCTTACGGTACTATCAGGAAATGCACGGCATGGGGGAAATGCATTTTGTGTGAATTTTTTACTCTCAAAATCCAAAAGGTCAAATGCTCTACAAGTATTAATGATGCCAACTTGCCAAGCATGGAACAGAACGGAAAGAGGAAGGCGGGCAAGAAAATGCACGAGAAAGAGGATGAAGTAGAGCCATTCCAACCAGCTGCCCTGAGACGTCTCGAAATGTCACGTACCAGCGCAATACATGTCTTGAGCAACGTCTCCAACGCAGCTAGAACCTAAGTCACAGCCCGTGGCGATGCATGTTGCTGGCGAAGGAATGGAAGGAAGAGAGAGGGATCATGGGGAGAGGGGGTGGGGAAGGGGGGAGGCAGAATGGAGAGGGGGGACCGGCGGTTGTGCGTTCAAACACAGGACCATTTGAGAGAGGGCGGAGGAGGGAGGGTAAGGGGTGCTCCCATTGCTAAAGGAGGTGAGGGGTGGTGAGACCAAGAGCGAGTATTGGGGATGGGGTAAAGTGAAGGAGGCCAAATATACGCACCAGCACAGGTGTTATTCGGTAGCATGTAGTAACCGTCGTTGCAACGGCAGGTTTTATCTCCACTTCGCTGGTCCGTCTCACATGTAGTATGGGAATCACAGAGTTCGCATACATCTGACGGGAGGGTGGCAATGATAAGAAAGAACGTGAAGGAGGGTGAGGAAAAAGAGAAAACGGTTGCAAGAGATATGAGATTTTGGGATAATAGATGTATAGAAAGAGAATGATCATGCAAGATTGATCAAGCAGGGAAAGTGAGGGGTAAGGGCGAAAGACAATGATGATGAATATTCTCGAACCAAGCCAAGATAAAAACTGTACATTAATAATGCATTTCCCAAACATATTATCCCCACCTGTAAAATACCAATGCCCTTATCTGAAGTTATAAAAACCATATTATGCACCACTAGCAAGGTATTTTAGAAAAGGCGTAGCAAGTTTGCCTTGCGCACTTCCCTTCCTGCAGAAATAGGGAGACACGCAGCCAGCACTCTAATTTACGTACCAATGCATTCCCCGGACACATTTCTGAAGCCCTGACTGCACATGCAGAATGCCAGGTCACGCTTGCCCTTGACACACGTGGTGTTGGCACCACATCCCTTCACAACGCACGAGTCTGGAAGGAAGATCAAAGAGGGGGAAGACATAAGCGAGAGATAGGGCGGATCCGCAAGAGAAAGCGGGGCCTCAGGGTCAACAAGGGAGGATTTTAAAGAGTGTGAGCGATCGGGATGGGAAGTTGGGTGGAGGAGAGAGGAAAGGAGAGGGCGAAGGAGGGAGGGAGGGAGAGGTTGGAAGTTGAAACGAACGGAACGGGTGAGGCATAAGACAACAGCATGAACAAGGCAGGCACTTACCCTGTGCCACAGGTGACAGGCACATCAGGCAGCCATGCAGCGACTGCAACAACACTCACCCATGCAGCCATCACTGGGAGTCATGGTGTACCCATCCTTGCAGGCACACGTGTCACTCCCTGCTGCATTCAGGTAACACAAGGCATTCGTTCCGCAGTTTTCCACAGCGCATGGCTCTGAGGGGAAGGGAGGGGGAAGGGGAAGCGAAGGGA